AGTGTATTGCAATGGAATGCATATGGAATATACGGGTAAAGTATGCTGATTACATTGCAATTGGCTGATATCAAAGTTCGTCCATTGCGTGTGTCAAGCACAAAGTATGCCTCTCTTTCTCTCTCCCTCTATAAATACATAAACCCACATATATGTGCGGATAGGATTTCAAACTGTTTAATCAAAGTCGCAGTAGCGCACACTGTGATTTTGTGTGTGAAGTGCTGCTTCATATCACTACAAAATGGCATAGTATTGTATCGTGAAAATGGATTAAAATTGGCGAAATGAGTGAATAAAAGTGATGATAATTGTCGCGATTACACATTCATGTAACGTTCGCAACGTATTCTTTGCCATGATTATTGTTTGAAATTGGTTGTTGTTTAGCTGTTTTGTCATTGCTAATATAATGGTGTGGTTAAGCGCTGCCTCACTTTAATAGGAATTTTGTGTAGTTTGCGAAGAGTGTGCACATCACGCGGGACTTTTTGATTCCGAACACTTTTTTAACCGTTGTATTTGCGAGAATGCGAATACTCTTCTCATTTCGCCTGAGAACAATTCGTTGTGAGTATGCACGTAAAATTTACAATGCAATTATATTTACGGGCGCTGTTCGAATTTGTATTTAATTTATAACTGAATGATGTTTTGTGCCAGATGCACGAATGAAATAGACAAATAGACACAACGGAATCGAGAGAGGTAAAGACCAAAGAATGGTCGCGTTCTTTTTCACTGCATAGCCACAGACTCGAACCGATTTTTCTAGTTTTTTTTTTAAACGCATAGAGCACACACATTGTCTATTTGAAATTACGAACCACCACTACTAACACCAGCACAACATAAAATCGTACATGTGTCCAGTGGTGATTTTATGTGCATATTAGATTGAAAATTACAGTCAATGCAATAATGCCTTTTTGTCCTTAGGTGAAGTTTGTGCTTTGTTCCAGTTGCCATTCTTCTTCCACACGTGTTCATCATCTTTTTTCACTTTTTCTTACGTTACTTCGATTTAATTTATTCGGTTGGAAGGAGTTCCAGTGCAAACGTGCTTGAATAGCGGCAAAATGCAGTTGATTGTTTTCTGTTTTTTTTCTTACCTCTATTCGTTCATTCGGTTCAATTTATGTGCATAGTCGTAAAATTACAAGAAACGTAGATAAATTGTTCATAGTTTCACGGACATTTTTTTAAAAATTGGGTGGTAGAAGATTCATTCCGGTTTGTGCGGTTTGTCATTGACGATGGCTGCATGTGTGAAATGCTCATTCAACTAATGCATTTATGCCATTTCTTTATCCCGCACTCTCATTCTCTCTCATTGCATCGCACTCTTTCTCCGCAAAATATCGAGCACTGTGCTCTGACTTCTGATTGAAATATTTACAGTTTTCCATGGCATCCCGGTTTCTTTTAAAGCTATACACTTAATTTGCGATATATATATATATATATATATCAGATTCAGTGTTTGTGTAAAACCATATGAAAATGTCACTGTCTTCCAGTGCAGCAAAAATATATGTATGCAATTCGTTGTTCCATCGCTTGTGGGCCAATGCAAACTTAGAACTTTTCTCGTAAATCGCACAACGCAGCTCATAACATATGCAGTTAATTATCTGTCTTGACCGAAACGAAACGAATGATTTATATATCGTAACATATTGTTATATATCGTACAGTTCACGTTAAAATACGTGTTATTTCGAGGAAATTCACCTTAAGATGCGTTTGTATATCAAACGCAAGAACAAAAAAGCAATTTTGACGCACGGGTGATATACTCTATGCACGAGAAAAAAAAATACATTTTTTTTTTATTGAATTATATTGCCGGTTTATTAGAATTTTATGAACAATAAAAAAAAAGTTACGTCCAAGGCTTCTTCGTTGCATTTTGCAATATTTTAAATCATCTTGAACATCTTGTTTGATATATGAATAATAGCCAATTTTGTTTCTCTTTCACCCGCCTCCTCTCTGAATAAGTATTATTAATTAACTGTCTGCCGTTCTTCAAAATTGTTTTAAATGATTTGTTGAATATGTCATAAATTAGTTGTTAGTTAGTATCACTAATTGGACACAATTATAATTGGACGATTTTGTGATGCAAATGATGAAAGCGTCGATAAATTCACTATCATTCAATATGGATATATTTTTAAAAAATATTTTATGCAATGAAATCGGAGGGGGTCAAAACAAACAGACACATATTGCCGGCAAATTGAAGTTAAACACCGCATGATTGAATTTCATTTAAGTTCATTTCCTTTTTCTTCGACTTTTTATTGCAATTTTATGTTTAAGTTTTCATTGCCGCTCAGAACTAACTGTTTTTACGACATTTTCTTGTTCGGTTGCTCGCTACGAGCGTTCTCTCACACATGGAATATAAAAACGAAACGTTTTTTATTTTTCAAATTGTGCATCATCAAACAAACCTGTGCCGATAGCGTTGAAATGCGTTTGGGGCTTTGAATCATACACAGACACAGAAACACATACACGATTTGATTTGTTGGAATTTTAATTTCTTCCGAAAACAGCGATGGATATGTGCGCATCAGCCGAAAAAAAGTGAATTTCAAAGTGGAAAAATGATGTTATGCGTGAAATGTATTAACCCGGCCTGTCGTGCCGTGCGACACTCCGAGACTATGTTCTTCTTTTGATTCATGCATGTTTCACATTGATGACATCTGATGCAATGTCATAGAAGCGCGCGTGCACACACGCTCACTACCATAAGCTTAACTCACCGCAGGCCGTGCACTGATTATTATTGCTGGAAAAATTAATATTAATAAAAAAAATATAAGAACCCGACGACGACGACGAATGGAAATGACAGTAACAAACAAATGTTGAAGTCGTACAGTTGAATATTTTGCATACTAATTAACATCTTTGTGGCGCTCTTTAATATTTATTATGTTCTTCGTCAACTTGACTTGACTTATAAGTACACTGTGGTTGCTTTAATCTCCGATTCAGTCGCCTTCGTTGTTGTCGTTGTCATAGTTTTTTTTTGTCTTTTGTTCCAACTTCATCATCGTTTTATTTCATTTCATTTTTTTTTTCTGTCTCTCTTGAGTGTGTGTTGTTCTTACAAACATTATTGTCGTAATTTGTCTCTCTGGTGTTTTTCATTTTCTTTCTTCGTCATAAATTCTTAGATGATATTCGTTTGTGCATCTCAACTGGCGATGTAATATGTGCCGTCGCGTTTGCCAACTTGGCCGAGATGGAAGCATATTTTGCGATTTGCCATTTGATTTTCATTCTATGTTCTTTGTGTGATTGCACACGCATGGCGCGCTCACATGCCAAAACGCATCCAAACTAATAAAGTGAGCGCAATGTGCGAGTGGTCGTTTTGCCGTTGTCAAACTATTGTTTGGCCTCGACAACGCCTAGCACTAGAAGAATTTCGTAAATACTTTCGCTCAACTTGCCGTAGATAATACGCGATCGACTAAATGCATATTATTCTGTCATTTTCTTTATGTGCATACAGATTTGTTTCTTCATTTCTATTTGCGTTTTGTTTTACATATAACTTCTTTCTTTTTTTCTCTTGCTTGCTTTCGTTCATTTTTGTCGTACAAGAGATATTTATAGCAAGCACACTTGAATTTGTATGCAAAGCTTCTCTTTTATTCTGCTGTCGCGAGTAATAATCTTCATTTTTTTTGCTGGCAATGCTGACGCTGATGCTGGTTGCTTATTCGATTTCCATTTCAAGCGCACTAAATTCAGTGTGTATTTATTTCATTCCGTCGAAACTGAAAGCAAAAACATCACACAAAATCAAAAGCAGGACAAGAAATACACAAGGAAAACGCAAAACGAACGAAAGAATAAAATTACACGAAAAAAACACAAACACACAGTGAAAGAAAACCAGAACACCGGGAAGTAGAAATTGTGCGGCAGCAGCTCTCACGGAAAATGGCACGGGATTCGCAATAGAAAAAAGTGTGTGTGAGAGAGAGAGAAAGATGGAATGGCGAAGAAAAAAATGAAGCGATTAATGTTGAAAAATGTTGCCATACAATAGTTGCATTTATTTTTGAAGTGCATGGATATTTTTCGCTTCCGATTTTTCACTAGAACTTCTTTTTTTTTTTTGAAAAATTCGCTATTTTTTACATTCCTTTTGTTCTACCAATCCACTCGAGAACCAAATGCTTGCGAATGAGCGGAGAAAAAAGTAAAAAAAAGAAGAAGAAACATACAAACGATACCGCGCGTCCAAATGAAAGTATGCCGTTGAAATACGGAAAAATAATGGTGGAATTAATTCGAGCGAAGTGATTCACGGTATGAGTGGATGGGTACTTATGCACTTGATTTCCAACGCAATTAGTAGTTTTTGTTGTTGCCATTGCACTGCAGCTCTCTCTCTCTCTCTGCAGCTTTCATTACTTTGCGAACAGAAAAGAGATGACAAAAGACAACGACAAATGAAATAAGAAAATAGAACGCACGCTAAACGATTATTCGATTGCATTTCATTTCCGATTTCATTTTTCTCCCATTCTGTCCATCCCGATGACATTGACGATATTTCCGTGCGGCTCCAAAAGATATATATACTTCATATCAGACAGATGCAACGGCATCACGCCCAAACAATGAACGAAAAACTTAACTTTTCAATTACATTCTTCAACGAGTACTAGTTCGAAAACGAAACTCAAGCGAAACGGGAGATGAATCGATGAAAATGGAAAATTATCTGTCGCACAGTAAATAGTATTTATTTTCAGTATGGTTTGATTCTTCTCGTTTACATTCGATTTCGCCGTCTCACTCTCGATTTGCATCGAATTGCACAAAGTGGAAACTAATACGCAATCATAAATCCACATAAATCATATCATAAATTGCGATTTAATTAATTGTTTTATTTGTTTTTATTGTATGCACACGATATTCATTTTGTATTTGATTATTCTCTTGTTCCTTGTTTTCAGGTTCCGATTGGCCGTTGTATATTGGATTAGCAGTGGTTGGTGCAATTTGTGTTGCATTAGGCGCCGGTTTGGCACGTGGTCGGAAAGGAAGACGCTTGCCGCCATACAGTATCGCACGTACAGGTAAAAAAACAAAACACAATTATTTAAAAACCGTTCGGTCAACCGATGTACGCTTGCTGCTAAAGCGTGCGTCACCATCGATTCAACAACAGAAACAAAATATAAATAAATGAATGCTGAAGCGAAGCGCCCACAATAAAATCCAGAACATTCACACACTTTGTTTTCTTTTGATATGGCGGCAAAAAATAAACAATTGAAACAATATCGTCAATCCATAAGCATTAACGAGACATATACTGTGAAATTATAATATATACACACGTATGAACGTAACGTCGCATGTTTGATGACGGATCGCTCGGGAAATACCATTAGCAATAATGACATTGATTTTCAATTCATAATCATATACACACAAACACAATCGAACTGACATTTGTTTGCGTGGTTCAGTCTCACGTCGTGTCACCGACACAATTGCATTGACTTTGAAATCGTTTTCATTTAAATGTCGTATGCATACGATTTTGTATTTATGCATAAACAATCACAGCCAAGAGAAAAATTGACCCGACACATTTTTCTAAAAAACACATAACTAAATAAGAAACCATTTGCCACACGGATGATGGCATTCGTTAGCAAAAACCGAAATAAAATGATAATAGCCAACTTATGTTACTATGTGCGATATTGCACTCACATGTAAAGCGAGCCCATCACATGTTGGGGCGTAAGATAATTGCATGCCATGGAAAATGGTGTGAGAATATGCTATCTGAGACCATTCAACCGAATCTGAATCGGCAATCCGGAACATTTTGTGATATAAAACAAAACGATTTTTCATTGTTTATTTCATCATCCACATCCACTTTCACATAATCTATCGGCGACTGAAGAGAAAGAGAAGAAGAGAGAGAAAAAAAATGTTGGCTGAGATTTGGTTGTTTCACGTCATGAATAACATGATCAGCGATAGCAATAAATAAGCGCCATAATCTTTCGTATCGTTTTTACATTCGCCTGTGAAAAAATTATGTATAAATGACAGAATATCACAAGCGAAAAAAAAACCAAAACGAAAAAAAACGAAATGTATACAATAATAATACAGAAAACGAAAGAAAAACAATAAAGTATCGTCTTGAACACATAAATTAAAACAAAGCAAATGATGATGACGACGACAACGGAAAAAGTAAAGAACGTCTTCGTTTTTCCCGTCGAAAAAACAAGTAATTGAAATGAACGGAAAAGAAGCGATTGCAGCCGTTTTGTGAATTTGCTCTTTCAACCGCTGAATATGTATGGTTTCAAGTGTAAGAAAATGCAAAAGAAGAGCAGAAGTCATTGTGCACGCACATTTGTGCCGACATTTACGATGTAATGCATTCAAAGAGATCAAGAATGAACAAAAAAAAAAAAAAAAAAAAAAAAAAAAAAAAAAAAAAAAAAAA